CTCATCCATGTCTTTATGGACCTTGGTTTGTGCACTGGTGTGCAGCCATGTTGGAACAAAGTTGGGAGCATGAAATTGTCCAAAATGTCTTGGTATGCTGACGCCTTAAGAGTTCTCTTCACTCGAACTAAGGGGACAAGCCCAACCTCTGAAAAACAACCCCACACCATAATCCTCCCTCCACCAAACGTTACATTTGGCACAATGCAGTCAAGGAAGTACCGTTCTGCTAGCAACCACCAAACCCAGACACTCCCATTGGATGGCCAGACAGAGAAGCGTGATTAATCACTCCAGAGAACACATCTCCACTGCTCTAGAGTCCAGTGGCAGTGCGCTTTATACCACTGCACCCAACACTTTGCATTGCACTTGGTGATGTACAGTAAGGTTTGGATGCAGCTGCTTGGCCATGGAAACCCATTCCATGAAGCTCCCTGCGCACTGTTGTTGTGCTAATCTGAAGGCCACATGACGTTTGGAGGTCTTTAGCTATTGACGCTGCAGACAGTTGGCGACTTCTGTGCACTGTGCGCTTCTGTGGTCTACCACTTCGTAGCTGAGTTTCTGTTGTTCCCAGTTGCTTACACTTTGTTATAATACTACTAACAGTTGACTGTGGAATATTTAGTAGCAAGGAAATTTCATGAATGGACTTATTGCAAAGCTGGCAACCTATCATGGTACCACGCTTAATTCACTAAACTCCTGATTCGTGCAGAAATGATTGTAGAAGTCTGCATGCCTAGGTGCTTGATTGTATACACCTGTGGCCATGGAGGTGAATGGAGCACCTGAATCCAATGATTTGGAGGGGTGTCCCAATACTTTTGGCAATATAGTGCATGTGTTGAACAGCCAATTGTAGTCTCCATAGGAAGTCAATGTTTCTAGGTGACAAGCCAGGAGGACATTTGGGAGACAAAAACATAGCACTGTCACCTATAACAAGAAGCAGGTGTAGCTTTTAGCTTCTTTGCAGATGTTTAACAATATTTCCTTAAAAGAGACGCATGAGATTTAAAAAAAAAACAAACAATCATACTCACTTAGGCTAATGCAGCATTGTTCCAATGCTGCATCTTTCCCCCACTGCATCTAAGACTGAGAACTGACTGATCATAAAACGCTGACCGCTCAGTTTTTGGTCTTCAGTGAGCAGCTTACCAGTGACCGTCAGTCACCACTCTGTGCTCTGCTGCTCCAGCACTCACTGGGAGTGACTGGCTCAGGCTCTTAGTGGTATGTTGAGAGGCTGAAAGCTGCCAGTCAAGTATCTGGGTAGATGAAAACTTTAAAGTTGGGATCCCACCAAAGTCTGGACTGGCTGAGTGAAGTCAGCTGACAGCAGAATGAGTATGAGTCATAGGAGTACAGAATTGACTGAACTCCTGTGATCCACGGGAGGAGAAAAAACAAAAGAGCTTTGGCCCTACTTCTCCGTTAGCAGCTCTGTTGTAAAAAGCCTGCTGTTTATAAAGCACAACAGCTAAAACTTAAAAAAAAAAAAACATGCAACTAAATGTGCCAGAGGAGCAACTCACCTCCCTCCTTTTTCCCAAATCCATGCTCTGCCGTACTGCATTTGGATTTTTATTTACATAGAGTCAGTCACAAAAAGACTACAAATTAGTTTTCCATGGCCATACGCTATTTTAAATGTGAATTGCTTAATATAAAAGTTCTGTATAAATAATAACAAATAATATAAAACATTGCTTCAAAAGGATTAAACAGCAAGCTTTCAAGAGCATTCAGGTTGTATTTCAGATGTTCCTTAGTTCCCTTTAATCTGCTTCTGATCTCCTTCTAACCTGTTTTGACTGTCTTCTGATCTGCTATTTGAATCTGCATTTTCTTTGACTTGTCTGAGTATAAAACAAATCTACAACTAAAGACCTGCAAAGCTAAACCCTAATGAAATACTTTAAACATATAACTTATTTTGGAAGCAGGGCACAGAAGCCTGCAAATCCAAACCTTCCTTTACATCTACACCCCTAACATATTGATCTTCTCACCAACCTCCATCATTATCTGTATAATCATACTGTAACTCTTGTGAACTTTGGTGAGTCAGATCTATTCACTTCAATGAGAAACCATGTAGAGTGAAGGAGGTTATCTAGTAAGCAGCTGCCATTATTTTTCTACTCCAAAGCCAAATTATGTCCCTGGAGTACTTATTTCAGCCATTTACTTTTGTAACCTTTAACCCTAAGACATTTTTTTTCCAGTGTCTCTATGTTATGATGCAAAAAGGGCTTCTCTAACCTAGTGACACCCAACTACTACCCACTCTTTCTGCAGTTCACATTATTACTGTTAATAGCCCTCTAATATGGTGGAAATGCAGGCAAGTGTAGAGCAATTCCAGGTACAGGATGAAAATCCAAATTTAAAAGTATTGCTTTTTGTTTTTTTGCTTTGTACAAGAAGCACGTCCAAAGGTGTTCAGAACATATTACTTTTTTTCATCTTTTTGATAGAAGAAGCACTTCAGAAACCAAAATGATTAAGTGGTGAAAAATCCTTACAAAAATATTACTGATGAGCTGAACTGACTGGATGTATAAATGAAACAGGATTTGTCAAACGGTGCAGTCCTGCTCTAATGGCATATTAATACACATACAAATATAGGAAACAAGCATCTATTTATTCTTCAGTACAGGGCCGGGACTAGAGGGGGGGGGGGGGGCGGGGTGAGCGAGCACCTGTCCTGGGTGCTGTGATGAGGGGGAGTGCTGCTGAGTTGGCTGCTCATCCCTCTCCTTATTGACAGGTATGACTGCAGTGTCACTCCTGTCAGAAGGAGAAGCAGCCAATAGCTGCTGCTGGAGGGAGGATTCAGCTTTCTCCTCCCTCCAGCCTGCATGGGGTGGAAAAAAGCTGGTACTGTGACAGAGAGCTGTTCTCAGTCTCAGAGTGGTGCTCTGTCCTGACTATGTCCTTTCTTCCTCTCTCCCTGTCATGTGACTTGTCACATGGGATATTTTTTACATTCACGTTTAATGATAATGGTAAACAGGACAAATAGAGAGGGTGAATCTCCCTAATGGGCACACAGACAGCAATAAAAACCTAGTAGGTAATCCATCTCTACTCTGTCCAAAACTATGAAAAAAAGTGTTGCCTTTAGTTATACTTTAATTGAAGAAGCTGAAGTTAGTAGCTGATTGGTTAATATGCACAGCAAATCTTCCCCATTGGCTAGTGCTGTGATTAAAGAGAATCAGTTAGCCATGTGCAAGAGCACATACACTCTATGCCTGAACAGATACAGGTATTGTACATAACGATATGTATTTCCTCTATTATACTGTAAATAGGAGATGCAAAGTGGCATCTCAAAAATACTGAAGAAATACATATAGGGAAGCTATTTTGCATGTCAAAAGGTTTGTATTTCTGGCCATATACTCTTGAGATTTACACACTCCACCACACAACACAGGGTAGGAAGCCTGATTATTTTTTCTGCTGCATTTCATTAACACTTACAGTGTTTGTCCCTTCCCACCCTGTGACTGGACAATGAAAGGAGAATTAGCACATTGATGTGCTTTTCCTTCTGTCACTCTACTCTCACTCTACATAACCGCTTTTTAGTACAGAGCTGCAATCATTTGTGTCTTTTGTATCTGGCCGGTGTTTAGCTTTCATGTGGATATCTTTTTAGTTTGTGATCACCTTTGGTGGGATGCCCCAGGTCAGTGTTTCTCAACCTTTTATCAGTCAAGGCACCCTATAAAATTGTGGACAGTCCTGAGGCACCCGTTAAAATTATGGACAGTCCCAAGGCACCCTTTAAAATTATGGACAGTCTCGAGGCACTCTTTAAAATTATGGACAGTCCTGAGGCACCCTTTAAAATTATTGACAGTCTCGAGGCACTCTTTAAAATTATTGACAGTCTCGAGGCACCCTTTAAAATTATGGACAGTCTTGAGGCACCCTTTAAAATTATGGACAGTCTCGAGGCACCCTTTAAAATTATTGACAGTCTCGAGGCACCCTTTAAAATTATGGACAGTCCCGAGGAACTCTTTAAAATTATGGACAGTCTCGAGGCACTGTATTCTAAAATGTGAAAAACTATTCTAATAGTTTTATATAACACAGCAACATCCACACATGTAGGACACCCAACGTTAGAGGTGATTTATTCTTCCAAAGCAAATACACTTTTGCACACTGGTACTGACTAGTATTCCAGTGTTTCTCTTCTCCCTCAGTTTTTCTCCATCACTGAGCTAATATGACCTCGGCACTAGGATGCTGTGCAGGCATCTGACATCTTCCATATCAACTGATGATGTCATTGGTTGTCAGAACTCCAGTGGCTAGAAGGTTGTAATGGTGCACAATGAAAACCTGTGGCTTTGTGTAACTAAAAGGCAGGCTTGTTCCACCTGCTGGCTTGTATACAAGTTTTGGGAAATTTTTAGACATTTTGACAAGGCACCCCTGAAGAAACCTCAAGGCACCCCAGGGTGCCTGGACACCCTGGTTGAGAAAGGCTGCCCCAGGTTATACTGCATGCCATCTCATTCTCCCACTGTAAGCTTCTATTTTCCATATGTACTTAGTGGGTAGATTAAGTTAGATAAAGTCCCCATATAAAAGCTCTGCATAAGCACACGGGTTTGTTTATACTAGATGCAGTAGATCTGGACTAATTATCTTGGTGCTGTTCTTTCTGACATCATTTGTCATAGTGCCATTGAGACTACTGCCATTCAGTATCACAATATCCTCAACATCATTCATCACATCCAGTGAAAGACAAAGTGCTTGTTAAATGCTAATATTTACTAGTATACATTATTGTTAATCATCATTGCCAGCCTCATTCTCGTCTTCATTGTTTGAATACACATGCTAACTTCCAATGTTTGCTGTGAACCATCAGCAATTCTTCCGATTAAGCAATGCCAGGATTTTGCTATTCCTACTGAAACACATATTCACAGATCTTAAAGTGTTACTAAACCCAGGACCCTGCATTCACTATATCTGGTCTCCCACAGTACTCAGAACACAAAAGTGCAATTATTTATTAAATATAAACTGCTAAATGCCTTTTCTCATCAGCAGTTAGAGCAGTCTTGTGACTTTTATCAGTGTCCAGCAGAGCACTGGTTAAAGCTTGTAGGAGGAGTCTTCATTCTGCTGTAGGAGGATGCAGGACCCCTGACCTCTGTCTGGACAGTGACGATTGGCATCACAATATCTTCAACATCATTCATCACAGCCAGTGAAAGACAATGTGCTTGTTATATCCTAGTATTTACTAGTATACAGTACGTTATTATTAATCATCTTTGTCAGCTTCATTCTCATCTTCATTGTTTGAATACACATGCTAACTTCCAATGTTTGCTGTGAACCATCGGTAATTCTTCCCATTAAGCAATGCCAGGATTTTGCTATTCCTATTGAAACACATATTCACAGATCTTAAGGTGTTACTAAACCCAGGACCCTGCATTCACTATATCTGGTCTCCCACAGTACACACAACATGGAAATGCAATTGTTTTAGTAAATATAAACTGCTAAATACCTTTTCTCATAAGCAGTTAGAGAAGTCTTGTGACTTCTATCAGTGTCCAGCAGAGCACTGGTTAAAGCTTGTAGGAGGAGTCTTCATTCTGCTGTAGGAGGATGCAGGAGCCCTGACCTCTGTCTGGACAATGCTGATTGGGCCTGTGCTTACCACATACACTCTCCCAAGAACAAAAAAAACCTCTCTAGCAATACACACCAAGCTGAGCATGTGCAGAATGACTCCACATGATATGTTTTATCAGAAGATAAGAGGGGGGCACTGTAAGAAGATGAGGATCAGAGAAGTCAGGATCAAACAGCGTTTTTAAACAATGCAGAGGATTAACCCCTTAGGTTCCACAGTGAGTATAAGAAGCATGCTTTACTTCATATACAGACTGATTTTAATGTTATGGATATAGTAACACTTTAAGCAGGGCTCTGAGTGGCTATGGAGGCATATTGGTAGAGTTGAGAGACTGAAGGGTTGATTTACTAAAACTGGAAAGTGCAAAATCTGGTGCAGCTCTGCATAAAAACCAATCAGTTTCCAGGTTTTATTGTCAAAGATGAATTGAACAAGCTGAAGTTAGAAGCTGATTGGCTACCATGCACACCTGCACCAGATTTTGCATCCTCCAGATTTAGTAAATCAACCCCTTTAGGTTATAGTCTTGATTGTGTGCATGGGCAAACACAAGAGAATTTTCTTAGTACAACTGTACTACTAAAATAATTTGAGGTCTGCCACAATGAATCACTAGAGATTACTACATATAGTTACATGTAGTAGCAATTAATTGCACAGTTTTGGAGTACTGTGCAGTCATTAGCAATTAGTCATGCCTACTTGTATACTCCATTGTTCCCTATGGAACTACACTACTCAAAAAAAATTAAAGGAACACTTTGAAAACACATCAGATCTCAATGGGGAAAAAATATCATGCTGGATATCTATACTGATATGGACTGGGTAATGTGTTAGGAACGTAAGGATGCCCCATTGATTGATGGAAATGAAAATTATCAAACTACGGAGATCTGAATTCAAAGAAACCCTGAAGATCAAAGTGAAAAATGATGCAGCAGGCTAGTCCATTTTGCTGAAATTTCATTGCAGCAACTCAAAATGGTACTCAGTAGTTCATATGGGCCTCATGTTCTTGTATGCATGCCTGACAACGTTGGGGCATGCTCCTATTGAGACGACGGATGGTGTCCGCATATTTCCTCCAAGATCTGGAAAAGGGCATCACTGAGCTTCTGGACAATCTGAGGTGCAACCTGGCAGCGTTGGATGGACCAAAACATAATATCCCAGAGGTGTTCTATTGGATTTAGGTCAGGCGAGCATGGGGGCCATTCAATGGTATCAATTCTTCATTCTCCAGGAACTGCCTACATACTCTTGCCACGTGAGGCCGGGTATTGTTGTGCACCAAGTGGAACCCAGGACCCACTGCACCAGCATAGGGCCTGATAATGGGTTCAAGGATTTCATCCAAATACCTAATGACAGTCAGGGTGCCATTGTCTAGCCTGTAGAGGTCTGTGCGTCCCTCCATGGATATGCCTCCCCAGACCATCACTGACCCACCAACAAAACGGTCATGCTGAATGATGTTACAGACAGAATAATGTTCTCCACGGCTTCTCCAGACCCTTTCACATCTGTCACATGTGCTCAGGGTGAACCTGCTCTCATCTGTGAAAAGCACAGGGTGCCAGTGGTGGACCTGCCAATTCTGGTGTTCAATGGCAAATGCCAATCGAGCTCTACGGTGCCGAACAGTGAGCACAGAGCACATTAGAGGATGTTGGGCCCTCGGGCCACCCTCATGAGGTCTGTTTCTGATTGGTCAGAGACATTCATACCAGTGTATAGTAGGTAATACAATCATATAATCAACAAATCACCTGTGTGCAATCTAATTTAAAAATGTTTCTAGGCTATGGATATTTATATATTCTTAAGTAAATTAGCTCTAACTTTTTTATCTGCAGGCAATATGGAGAAATGAATCCTCAAATTTACGGTAAAATCACAAATCACCTTTATTTCAGCCTCTCAATTCATTCTTCCCTTACCTCTCAGTAGTGACTTAACAGCCTGTTGGTCTTGTGTACAGTGAACAGAAGTAACAGAGCAAAGTAATGAGACCTGACTTGAACAATTTCACTGCGTCTCTGGGCTTTGAGGATTAATTGATTCACAGCGTCTGCAGTTACAGAGGTCAGACAGAAGGTATATTAAAGCTTATTTACTGCTTCGTAAGAATATGTAAACATCCATAGTCTGGCCACAGTTCTTTACGGCCTCATTCACAAGGGCATACCTATCTGTATACCCATGTGAAAGGCCATCTTTGCCCGCACAGGATACATAGGTCTCCACCCGTCACCGTTAAAAACATGACAACATTGTAACTTAAAAATGAAGAAACCCCGGGTTTGATGTTAAAAATGCACAATGTCAAGTCCCCAAGATGGTATATTACTGGACTCTGAACCACCATTACAGGACATTAACCCAATGATTACTACCATCAGGGTGTGTATGGAGGCAGAGTCACAATATAGCAAGGAGGGGGACAGCAGATCCAAGTATATGCAAAGCTTAGGCTAAACATCAAATATACATATATCCATCTATGTTGGAGTATTTAAATTTCATGACCCTCGGCCGATAAATGCAACATAGAGAAACTGAAGCTTCAAGCAAGGATCAAACACAACTAAAAGTCCAGCTACCTTCATAAAGGTTATGCGGAAGTAGCAAATGGCTCATAGGAATGCAATCATATCTGGACATCAAACAAATGATGAAAGTCGTGATGGATACAAACTGATAGGTACAGTGCCATCTGGTGAATTAAAGAGTGCAATCATAGTGAACCTTCAGGAGGAAATCTAGTTGGGGAGCATGGCTGTTATCATGTCTGGTAAGGCAGTCTCAACATTGACGCCCAAATAGGCTATAACCAAACAGGATGCCTCAAATAGTGACCAACAAGCCACAAGGGTTGTGGAAAAGCTGAAATAGTGAGACTCCGATGCAATCTCAGTGGCTTGTCCAACAGGGACCCTCGGTGAAATAAATTGGGGATAGAGCTAGATGAAAATCCCACTTATGTCCCGAGTGCCACCAGGGTCCAGGCATGCTCAGCGCAAAGTGTCCACATACCAATGGGAGAAGGGATTGATGCTGTCTCATGTGCAAGTGGCTATCACCATCTTGAGGCAAACAGCAACCACGTGGATAGTCCAATGTCCTAGCTCCATGTTAACCCCACATCACTCTTTCCAGGTTTAAAGCAAATCCAGACCTCCATTGGATAAGACTAGTCCGGTTCCGCTACTGTTACCCGGACAGGTGAATCATGGATAGCTTGACATTGAGACAAAGTCCGGGGCATCCTAATGCAGGACCTACTGTCTACGCGTTTCACCCGTTTATTTTGTCACATGGCTTTATCAAGACTCTTCGGCAAGTGCCCTCTCAGAACTTGTGTGAGCTCACTTTTGAACCTCCTTGTCTGCGTTTATTGACATGGACAGGGAGGCTTGGCCCTGACCCTGCTCCCTCATCACAGAATTTGATTGACAGCAACAGAAACCAATAGCTCTTGCTGCTATCAATCTGTCCTGTGAGAAGGGAGAGAGCCGAGAGAGTCACAGCTCTCATTCACAGTGCTAGATCGAGATTGGGCTCAGGTAGGTATATAAGAGGGGTGGGGGGTGCTGTGACATTGAAGTTTTTTTTACCTTAATACATATAAAGCATTAAGATAAAACAAAAACCTTTAGGCTTGAGAATCACTTTAAGACTATCTCATTCCAAGTAAGAGGCTAAAGCCATGCGTATGCATCCTGATGTTTTGTCACTTTAAAAAATATTGTATTCCTGTGGTGCATGCAGCACTTGAGTCTTTCTTCTGTAATCAGACAATGCTTACTTCTGGATAAAAAGTTATTTTATAGTTTGTTATTGTTGACTAACAAACAGCAGTCATGTTTTTTGAGAGATTACATAAATGCAGGCAGTCTAATATACCTATTTTTTTTTTTTACCACCTGCGAGTGAAGCTGTGAGAGGCAACCTGAAAGGCTAAAAATATGGGACCTGTGATTGCTTTTCTGGTGCAGATTCCATTGAAAAGCTACAAGAAGGCATTCTGATCCTGGCTGTACTACTTAGTGAACCACTGACTCAGAACAAACACATGCCTATCAAGTGTCGGGACATCCAATTTGACTAAGCTTGTTCCAGATCAGTGAATTACCAAGTGGTAAACCAAGGATAAAGATAACAGCCCTGGAGCATGCTCCTTCAGAAATGGCAGCTCTTATATTTCTGTCCTAGAACGTATGACCTTCAGACTGAAACATATGTATTCCAGAATCGTTTTCTCTAATCATTTTTCAAAAATATTTTTTCATTGATTGCACTAAAGTATTATACTCTCTTCATATTCAGACAGTAGATTATCCACATAAGTAGTTTATTAAGATACAAATAATTTTTGAGCTGGTTGTGCTCCCACTAATCTATACAGATATAGATAATTAACATGCAAGCAATGACAAGTGTACAGAATGAAATTCCAGACAAACAATACTTAATTTAACAATGTATTCTATAAAATAAATTGTATTACAAAATAGTACTAATATATCTGCCTGAAATGTCTCTTTATGTTATCCTTCCCAAATCCCCTACCAATGAGATATCAAATTAAGGGCTCATGTACTCATGTATGATTTGTTTGCATCAGAGTTTGTTTTGTTCCCACTTTTTTAAAGCAAACGAACAAGAGCAGGGATAAATCAGTATGGTAGACTTGCATTTGTTTGCTCACTTGATCCTTGAACTTATCTTGCTGATTGTACACTGATTTGTAAAAATGTACAGTGCAGTCTTAGGTTGGAGTCCATGTTGAGAATCCAACTAATGCTGCTTGTGTGCCTTCTGTTTCAACAATGTACATATATGTGTCAGCATTTTACATGAAAATAAACAAAAAACAGATGTGATCCCAACTATAAGAAACTGCATGCTATAAGCAGGGGCGGACTGACCATTTGAAAACTCGGGCACTGCCCGAGGGCC